AGGTCGTGGCATTTTTCGATGCACTCACGCGTCCTGAACTTCTTAATCTTTTAAACAACTTGACGCGTTTGAAATAAACCCCGAGACAGATGTGGGGTTTTTGTACGCTGCTCCTATGTGTACTTAAGCTATCGAAATAAATGGCGTTTGCTAAACACACCGACAAACTTCAAAAATTTCTTTTGTTTGTCGCCGATTCGAAGCCTCTCCGTGTTGTGAGTTTCGATGTCACTCAATGTTTATACAACAGGTCGGCAGGCCGAAGATTTCTATTAAATACAGAATACCTAATTAGCACATGCCTATCAAACCGAAACTTATCCAAATTACTCGTTAATTTTCTTATTGAAGTTTGACCCACAACAAAGGCCGGCTTTGATAATGGTTTAAATAAAATATTCAAATTTGTCTTGAACTTTCTCACGTGTCATCGGGCATTGCTGCCCACAAAGGCACCGTCCACTCTTCTAACGCGGGCAGGAAGTTTGACATTCGGCGGCCTGGTGAAGTAATAAAACCTCGTAACACGGGCTGCTAACTCCGTTTTGTTTATACCCGCCGCTTTGCGGTTGCGCTGCTTTGTTGACAAGGCTAATTAAAAAAGAGAGAACATTGTAAGTATTAAACTTGTAACTCAAACACTGATGGAAAGGCCTACCACTTCACCGTTTACAAACAGTTCAGAGCTTTCGTATATATAGAACGTCTATCTCAGTTTTAATTTGCCCCTCAGCTTTCCGGACGCCGATTACCGCTAAGATCTTTTCCTTGAGGCAATCCGCGCATTTTGCCTGATTCTCGTAAACGGACCTTTATCTCGGCGCTGTTGTTCTGAGAAAAATTGAGCACCAGTAATAAAGTGCATTATAACTTTTTTCCATATTACTTTTTTCATATTAACGCCCAATAAATTGCAAACTCATTTTCTTCCAGCGCAAAGGATGGCTCTATAAAGTTTATTAAAAGTTTTCTCTCGGCTATTTCGGGCATACTTAATAACGTGGAAGGCGGGTTCCGCTATGAACCCGGCTGAAATCAAAGTAATTTTGAAAGTATGAAAACTACGACAATACTCCGTGGTTTCCTAAAGCTATGGATCCAAACCTTCTTAAAACAATAATCTGAACTTTATCACGATTAGGAATGACCCTTAACGTTCTCAGCCGTCGCAATCTTCTGATTGTGAAATATTTAAGTAATTGTAATGCTTTTATTTTGTTAAGGTTTTGTAACAATTACCGTAACAAAAGAATCGAAGCAACATAACACACGAGAAAAAAACGACAGCGGTTTCTTGTTAATAGCTAGGCGTTTTTATCTTTTCTTCGAAGATGACTAAACCTATCATTAAAGATGGCGTCGTGCTAGCGTAAATATTTTGGATAAAATCTCCGAAAAGAAACCTACACAATCACTTTAATATCTTATGTCAATTTTAAATGTCAACATATTTGATGATTTTTCAAGGGAGTTTTGTGTTTATCTTGTATTCACTTACACACAGCGCATTAAATTTTGAGACTTTACCAAGAATGGAGAGTAAAGTGTAAGAAACGAACTGAAACATTTCGATAAACGCATTGAGAGGCGATCGGTTATCAAGAAGCGAACTAAAGTTTTTATTTTATACCGCGGTGTGCTTCTTGGACGTGATATTAAAAGTCGTGGCTTTTAATTCGGGTGGCTCCCTCAGTAGTAATCAATGGCCTTGTTGTACAAAAAAAAAACCTCTTGAATTTGCCGACAATTTCATCTTTATTCTGCAGGTGCCTTGGACTATGAAACCCCATATGAAAAGAGCTATTACTTTAACACAATCGAACGAGGCATATTAGATGTTGAGAATTGAAAAGTAAACAATACTTTTTTCATCGATCAGGCTCACTGTTTTGTGAGAGCGAAATGCCTTTGTTTTGACAGAAAATCAATAGTGCTTTAAGATAGAGATTCGCCATTAATGAATAGAACTCATAAAACGCGCTCACAAAGCAAAGAATGCTGCGCGGCTTATGTAAACACCCCTTTACTTACATATTAAAAATATGAATAGAATAAACACACATTATTTCACCTTCAAACGCTAAGCAGTTTATCACTTTAAAGAATATTGAAATCGAGAAAATTTTCATTAATAACTTAAGCGTTGTTACTTTAGTTTCAGAGGGAAAGAAAATCTTTGATTCTTCGAGGCAACGCGCTTTCAGGGGGTCAACATGGGATGTCTTGTGATATTTAGAACTCTAGAAATAGAACACAAATATAAACAACGAAACCATGACATTTTAAAACGATTCTTTAGGGAATGCCTTTTGTAAACTTTTTCCCACTTTACAATCTCCTATGGGTTTTCATCCGACCAAACACAATGGTCGAGGTTCAGAATTTAATAAAAAATACAAAACAATTTTAATGCAATGATATATTGAATGCCTTAGCGCGACTACTGAGGTCGAAATTCAGTGTAATCCGAGCAACTTTGCCAGTTCTGGAAAAATCTCCTAGCGTGTGAAAAAGAATTTAACTGAAATCTAACAATCGATTCTAAGACCGAAACACTTTACTGTACAACCTATCTATTCTGTTAACAATGCTATATGGGGTCCTTTATCCTTTCAGTCACCTGACGTTTTTCGCCGTGTTTCAAATCCACCACATTTGTGCCCCACAGAATTTCGCACTAAAGTAACTGATAATAGAAATAGTTAGGAGCTAACTTCATTTTCGCCGCTAGTTGTGTTTACCCGTACATTGGCCGTACTTTTTGTAATTATGTCGGAGGTGCATTATTCCAACAATTACCCACTCAACCACGCTTAAACTCTTTCAAGAGTTTCCCAAGAGTCAGGTAAATCTCAGAATTTCGACCCTTAGAAATTGGACTTCAGGTAAGAGCTATCTTTTTGCTTTAATCAGTGTTTCATATCATTCGTGCCTGTAATGAGAAAAGCCTATAACAGATGTTGACTTTTCACGACACAGTTGTTTTCTCTTTTGCTTTTATCTAGGCCCTCAAGTTTACTTAGATTTTGCCAACACCATGTTTCGTTCTTCACAACGCTACTTATGTTTTGTCTCTAATATTTGGTCTCGGACCTGACTAGAATATGTATAAAAGTATAAATCAAGTGCTGTTTCACCCATCAGGGGAGGCAATGACAGTTGAATTGAAAGGAACTAATCACTTACGGAGATTAGCTTTTGAAACTATTCGTTGCATTCACCAATTTAGCGCGGTAGGCGAGCTAATGTTTCCTTTGCAAATTTCAAAATCGTCGTGTGTTTACCCTTCTCTCTCTATGACTTTTCGCTTTGCGGTTACAAAGTCAAAGAATGAACAATTTAATTAGCTTGATCACGAAATTTTGAAAAATTTTACACCGATTGAAAGGTGATATAATTGACAAAATTTATAGCAAAAGAATGGTTTGGAACTTTAAAACTGGCCCTAGAAGAAACAGGAAAGAAAAAATGAATCAAGACGAGACTTGGATGAGCGAAAATGAAAAAGTTTTGAATGGAATGTATTCGGTTGAATTTGCGACCTGAAAAACGATAAGCTAATGTTTCGATTCAATCTCGATTTATAACGAAGCTGTACTGTGCGTGTGGTGCGGTTGTGGGATCTGGTGGCGAAATTATGATACGCCGGTAACATTGCATGTCAAAGCAGTAAAAGAGCGCGTGGTAATCAAGCAAAGTCTTTAGGCCCTTTTTCTGGGAGGAGGGGAGTTTTAACCAGCATTGTACGTGGTGAAAGCCTTCGAGATTTACAGGTGAAGCTTTGTTACAGATGTTATTAGTAGCGAAAATTTACAACACCATTTGCTGATGAAACTTCATTCTGCAATTTCTACAATTTGAAAATGGAAAGTTTTTCGCTGATGTGTAAAAACAGATCCGAAGGTCCATCAACATTCTTGCAAAGGAAAAGGAAAGAATGAGCCTCTATCATTTCGATGATCGATATCGACTTCTTATGATGATGATGATGACTTTATTTAAACTCGGATGAAAATGAGGCTTGTTAGGCCTCTAGCAATAGAGATGCTAATATACCAAGAAAAATGTATGAATATAAATTACAGAGTTTAAAAATAATATAAGCCTAAATATAAATGGAGATATAAATGATGGTGATATAAAATTACAAATTACTTAGATTTCTTATCTCATTCCTGAAAGGGCCAAATTCAGCCATTAATCTTAGCTTATCAGGTAATGCATTCTAAGCCTTACCAGCAATGTGAGAAGTTAATTTGAGGCCGAAAGTTGTGGTCTTAGCTACAGGTAAAACGAGTTTGTTTTTGCCCCTAAGATTTTTCTTATTTTCTCTTACTTGAAATAAAGATTGAATATACTAAGGCATATTGTTATAGAGGACTTTAAAAATGATTAAAAGCATATCTTGTTTCCGTCTACAACTTAATGAGTAACCAATCTTATAACATAGACTATCATATCCGTTGGAAAAGTCATTAAACACGTATCTAAGGGCCCTCTCTTGTAATCTCTCTAACTGGTCACTATCTTCTTTGAGACAGCTATTCCAAACAGAACTACAATAAGTAAAGTGAGGCATGATAAATGCCCAATATATACGTATCTTTGACGAAAACGAAAGAATGTGTTTGAATCGATTAAGTACATCAATTTGTTTACCTACTTTCTTAATTAACCTAGATATATGACTCTTAAAATTTAACTTATTGTCAATTACAACCCCTAAGAGTTCCACATTATCGGTCGCTTTGACTTGGAAACCATCAATATCCAGTTCAACTAGATCACTTTTTCGCTTGGGCAAAACTAGGAGTTTACATTTGTCCAAGTTTAGGGTCAGACCACAGTCATGAAATCATTTGGAGGTGACTCTTAAGTTCCGGATGAGGTCAGCCTGAACCACGCTTGGAGCTATAACACTTGAAGTTAGTTGGTTGTCATCAGCATAATTCGAGAGTTTGACCTCTGTCACAAAGTAAAATATGTCATTTAAAAAGATATTAAAGAACAAGGGGCCTAAAACAGACCCTTTGTGGAACTCCTCTGTGAATCTTGACAATGTCAGACTTGGCATTGGCCACTTTAACAAGCTGTCTCCGTCCTCTAAGATAATCTTTAATTAGGTTAAGACTTTGGGCAGAAAGACCATACGCCTTCAGCTTGTCCATCAACAGGTTGTGAGGGATGAGATCAAAGGCTTTACTTAAATCCAACAACACTGAACCAACAGTCTTTCCTTTGTCCAAGTCTTGCCTCCATGATTCGATAAGATGGAGAAGCACTGCCTCACAGCTATAACCTCTTCGATAGGCTGAGAGAAACGGTGATAAAATTTCTGCAAAGTGCTCCACTACTTGACGATTCAGACATTTTTCAAAGGTCTTATCTAAATTAATCAATATAGATACCGGTCTATAGTTACATATGTTCGTAGGGTCATCCTTCTTGAATACAGGACAGACTTCTGCTAACTTCCAGTCACTCGGGAAACATTCAGATACAATAGAAAAGTTGAATAGGTTAGCAAGAGGTAAAGCTAACTCCTTTGAACAGTCCCGTAAGATTTTCGCAGGAATCCCGTCATGACCAGTGGCCTTATTTGGTTCAAGATTACCTACAACCTGTTGTACTTCTGCAGGACTGATTAGCTGAAAGTTAAAGCTCTTTATATTAGGACAATTATTTCGTATTGCAGAAATGCTTGGATGACTGTCAGAACAATAGGAACTTCCCATCATTGCATAATCAGCACTATCGTTTTGAATTTTAGAAAAATGGTCTTTAAACCTCGTAGCTATGACGTTATTGTCAGTAATAAGTTCCTTATCTTCTTTAAGAGTTATGGTGTTGTCACCACTGTTCTTTTTGCTGCGAATAAAAGGCTTAATTACAGTCCAAAAAGTCCTAGGATCGCCTTTCGCATCGTCTCATTTACTTCTTATGTATTTGCAAATCAATTTCCGTCTCAACGATGAGGTCTTGTTTCGTTGTTCCTTGTACTTTTGCCAGTCTGCGAGATCTTTTGTTGCATAGTATGTTTGTTTCAATCTGCGTCGACAACGAATAGCACCAAGTAGTTCAGTGGTCATGAAGGGAACATGCTCCCGCTTAATCAGCCTTTTCTTAACAGGAGCGTGTTCGTCAAGAAGACCCGTGAACATTTTTCCCCAAGCCCACGCAACATCGTCAACATCATCAAAGACATAGGCGACATGAAAAGGAATTTGACTGACGTCTCTTGAGAAAACATCTTGGTCAAAGTGTTTGAAGTTTCTTTTGTTCTCAATTTCCATACAAGGTCTTGGACAATGAGATCTCATTACAGCATAAACCAAACTGTGATCACTTGTATCTGTATCATAGACTCCAGAAGACAGAAATGATCGCGGTCTAGATGTAAATTTAACGTCAATCAGTGAAGTAGAAGTATTAGTGATTCTTGTAGGTTCTTTTATCAGACTGGATATGCGATAGACTTCCATTAAATCAATAAGAGCACGACCATCCTTGGCCCCTCCGTCAGGATTCAGTAAATCACAATTCAAATCTCCAACAAGAAATATATTATAAAATCGACCAGGACGAAGTAACATGTTCTTAAGTTGAGATTCCCAGACTGATTTAGATAGATTGGGAGGTCTGTAGGTACCCATTAGTAGAGCTTTAGGACCATTCTTTCTCGTTTGAAAACTTAGAGCAATTGTCTCGATGTTTACACACTCTAGGTGAGAGACTCTGAGAATAATTAATTCTCTTCTGGTATATATCAGAAGTCCTCCACCATGTCTGTTCCTGTCTTTACGAAACATCCTGAATCCTTTAATATAAAACTGTGAGTCAGGAAAAGCAGCGTCAATTTCCGTTTCAGCAAGAATGACAATGTCAAATAGCCCTTGTAGAATAACAGATTTTACTTCTTGAAATTTAAAGCCAGCGACGCTGTTAGTATTTAAGTAGGCAATTCTGATATTTTTGTAATACTGTTTTAATCGCACGGATAGATCGTCATCACATCCCTTGGAGGGAGAGATCCTAGCATCGTTGAGTCCGCGGCTGTCAAAGCAAAGGGTTCAGAATTCATCTCGTAGCAGGGCGTAGCATGCGCAGAAGATCAGGTTTGTGGACGCAAGCGTTTTTACGCTTTGTACGTCGGTGAAAATGCGTGCTTACTTAGCGAGCGCAAAAAACGTTTTTGTATCTATACGCACTCTTTGCTGCGGGAGTAGAGAGCACGTTCTGGGCCTTCTGCCGTTTGGCAGACAATAGCAACCGAAATTATGACTGTTATCGTACAAAAAGGTTATCTATTGAATAGGGAGGTTGCTTTGCTGAAGATGATTCCCTCTACTTTGAAATCTATTGGTGGAACGCGAGAAAGTGTACACGCCAAATAGTTTTTAAGATCATGATTGGACTGGATGATGTCAAATTCTTTCATGATAATTTTTTATTCACAAACTCTTAAATGTAAGAGTGATTTTAATAGACCCTCTCAATTCAATTCACTGCGGGCAGTGACAACCAAAGGGTTCGTGTGCGTACGTGCTCTGTGTCCGTGTCCAACGGCGAAGGCTGATCGCTTTGTTAAACGAACCGTTAAGTTAAAAAATGTTCTTTGTAGACAGAACAAGCGTACACTCACACAAGTTTTTTTTGTAGTACCAGCTCAATTGGCGTTTAGTGCAGGCACGTTCCTTGCTTGTGGCGGTTTTCCGCCGGCTTTGTTTTCAATCAATACAACCTTGAAGGGCAGGAAGTAGTCTACAAAACCACAAATATGGTAAACAACAAATAGGATGCAAATGTGTCAACATCCCATCACGCGATTTGGAGATCACGTAAGCTTTGCGCACGTAGTGTGTGCACGTTTTAAATTTTTGAATGACTAGAGACTCCGCACCACGGAAGGTATGTCAGTTTGACGCATCCATGCGAATGAACTTTTGATAAGGGAACGTAGTGAACTACTCTAGTTTGAACCTGTAGCTCACCTATTCGCAGTGTTGAAAGACATCTTACGCTGGACTGCATCTCCCAAACTGACCCGAGACGAAATCTTGTTCACTTGTAGTTTCTTGAATTCCAAGAAGCCATTCTTGAGTGCTGACTCAAATCAGCTGCACCAATCAGTCGATTAGTTAGATCCAACATTTTAAACTGTTCCACCCTCTTTTCTTTTTTCGAGAATCTTTCTTTCTGTTCCATCACTAAAAACGCGAGCATGATGAACGTTTCCTGTCGAAGCCGTTTTAATATTGTTTCACTTTTTCCAATGTTATTTATTATATTGTTCCATTTGCTCGAGATTTTCTACCCATGGAGTGTTTTTCAAACAAACCCTGCAACGTTTACCGTAAGCTCATGGAATAACGCCCGTGATTAGTATCAATATCGCCATATGTGGGATAAGATAGGCCAAGAGAAAATTATTTTCTCTTTAATTGGTCTATCGTATCTCCTTTGCTAGCGTGGTGACCTAATTTGTTGTTGTTTCATTTTTCAAAGAAGTGATTATTGGGAGACACTCAAGGAAAGTCTGAAAAAAATATATCGACAACTTTTATTTCTAAGGAATTACCTTAAGCAACTTTATCGCTGTTATAGAGCAATTATCAATGCAGTGTCGCAAGTAATCCAAGATTCCATTGGTTTTGATTTACTTCGCTTGATGATTGATTCAGAAAACGCGCGCCACTCTCTCAACCAATCAGATGCAAAACTAAACCAGTAACGACTTAGTCGCCCGTGTTTTCCCGCGCTTTGGCCAGTTTGGATGTTTTCCCGCGCTTTGGCCAGTTTGGTTTTTATTTTGAATTCTTTAGCTTTAAAGGGTATTTTCCTTCTTTTTGATTGGCCGCTTTGATTACTTTGGCTTTGGTTTTGCGACACTGAATCGAAAAGCGCATTATGCGTACAAAGATATGTCAAACTTGCAAAACATGTGCTTAGTAATCAGCATGGAGTGGAATGCTTTCGTTAAATGCCAGTTTTCACGCGCTTTGGCCAGTTTGGTTTTTATTTGATTTCTTTAGCCTTAAAGGGTATTTTCCTTCTTTTTGATTGGCCGTTTTGATTACTTTGGCTTTGGTTTTACGACACTGAATCGAAAAGCGTATTTTGCGTACAAAGATATGTCAAACTTGCAAAACATGTGCTTTGTAATTAGCATAGAGTGGAATTTCTTCGTTAAATGCTAGCTACGGATGTGTCTGCACTTAAATAACAGTGGATTTTATCATACACAAAATATGACTGGCTCTATATCTAACGTTTCTGTATTTAGTCATGGCTACAAAATTATGGAGTAGTTCAGTGTATAAATATAGAATATGGCGGTACCAGACCTTGCCTACTAAAACCTCCATTTTAAGAATTTTTTATGATTAATATATAAGTATCAACGGAAACGGAGAAATGTTTTTAAACACTTTTAAATCAAACCGTTTTGACCAAACTTAACGTGAACTAATTTTAATTATATCATAGTTTCTTCCAAGTTTCTAAATAAATTTATACCAGTTGTTCTATATAAGGCGAATCACTATAAATGTTATTGGTAAAAATAGTCATGTTAAATGCCAGCATTAATATTTAGATAAAACCTAATTCAACTAAAGGCAATTTCGTATTATCTCCCTAGGACAGTGCTTGATTATAAGTACCCTGCGAGTAGAACCTTTTCTTCTTTTCTTCTTCTTTTCTTTTTTTTAACCCTCCAAGGGAAAAGGCTCTGCCGACATCCTGTTGTTGCTTTGAAATGCCGAAAGCCCAAAACTCCGGCCTACTCCAGCCGGTTTTGCCTCCAGTCAAACCGGTTTTGGTGCGCACGCCTTTGTTTTTCATGTACACAGAT